TTAAGCTAAAAAGACTATAATAATGTGCTTACAAACACTGTGCTTAAGTAATGCTGTGTTTACAAAACTGTTGGAAGTCCTAGGGGAACTGGATTCAGGAGACTAACACGGGTGCTGTTGACTTCAAGAACACATTGCAGTGTCTATAATACAGGGATCAGGAAACTGTTGTTGCCGTAGCATCATAAACCACCTTTTAATACTCTTGTCTCTGCTAACTTAATTTCCAGGAGAATCAACAGCAACAAGATCACTGCATTACTTCTGCTTTCCAAATGTCCTCTGAGTGCTTCTAATTGGCAGAAACAAATTTACATACAGATCTTAGGCTGCAAGTAGAGGTGAAAATGCCAGATTTCTGCAATATAGAAGATTTGCGAAGGGAGGTGTAAAATGTGCTGGGTAAATACCATTGACCAATGGACAATATCCAGCACAGTTCTTTGATTTCTCAATATTCATGCATATACACCCCTTTATCTAGTCTAAGTCTTTTAAATAGCAAAAGCAACGATCACATGCTCCTGATTAACACAATGTAGGCTTCTGTAATAAGAAGACAAATGCACTTATCTTTTCTTGCACATAGCCCATTAGTCACTGCATCTATCTCTAGGTGGGTGATGTTCCTTACTCCAGTAGTTTATTTCTTGTTCTAACTTGATGTCTTTAATAGAATTAGTAAATTATTAAATTAATAGCCATCAACATTTCGTTATGTATTAGTACAGCACATGTACATATGGAAGAATGAAACCATCCTCATTTTTAGGGACATGAGACCCTAGTTATGTTCTGTCCTTCTTTCCCCACGACTCATTCCATGTGCCATTATCACTAGCAATTTCTTTGTTGGTTTAGGTTTTTCAGGACACATGTCTGCATTCCTCAGAGGTCAGAACCATTTTTGGGTTGGATTGCTATAGCCTTCTGTTAACCTACAATACTCGATGTAAACTTCGGAGGCTTCATATGTAAATTGCCCTTCCCCCACCCCTTCTATTGTGGAAGTAATATTTTTCCCTTACGATATTCAGAATGAAATCCACCAGGCACTATAGTCATCTCCTTTATTTGATTGCTACTTTGATGGCATGAGTATCCAAAATAGGGCTGTCTGAAATTCCAGTTCAACAGAATAATTGCTCTGTCCCCAGGAGTTAGTCAGATCACTAAAATCTCAAAAATAGCCAACCTGGAGTTCTGTGGTCAGGAAACCAAATTGTTTGATGGGCTTCTTGGATGCTATAGTAAGAAGTAGTACTCTCATCATCTCTACCTCTTATTTCCAAGTTCCATGCATCCTTGCTATGTCAGTAATTTCATCTTAAATTGATGACTAGTTCAAAGCAAATTACAGTATGTAGGGAGCACCGACCACACAAGGTACTATCTCTCAGTTGTAACCGAATTGTCAGTAAGACCTTGAAATCCAGCTACTTTGGGGTGTTAAGGTATATGCTAACCCCATGACTCTTCAGGGCAATAGCCTATTGGAAGATTTATGCTATTTAAGTCCCACAGTCAGATGCAATATTTTCTTGACTATCATGAAGAGGAATAAGGTATTCATTAAGCCCTCAGTTGTTGATGGTGGTAAGAGCATGGCAGGCAGACTAAGGAAAATACCTAGAATGTATCTGTTCTAATGAGGAAAAGCTGCTTTGTCTTCTGTGAGTTTTGTTTTCTTCTTTTCTTTTCTCTTCACTTTCTCCCTCCCTCCGTTCCTTTCTTTGTTTTTCTTTTTTTTGTGCCGAGACTGGAATATATCTGATTTGCCATAGTATCTAGGGTACATTCTGATTATTAGATCCATGAGCATGATGGTGTCAATGTAGCTGGTCAGTGAGATAATAATGGCTTCTGATGAGAAAATTACATTGTCACTGAAGAGAGTTGATGCACTCCTGAGGCAAGACTGCAGAAATGATATATTTTTCTTGTCAAGTGAAAATAAACTGATTCTGGTATGTTCTATATTTGAGGTGGAAAAAAAGTTTCTGTTCTGTAGCTGCATACCAGGTTCTAGAGGCTGTTTTGTTTAAAGAGACTGTACCTGGAATAGTGGCAGCTGAAATTCAAGTCACTGAATGGTTAGATATGTAAAATTTGACTGTAATTCTCGAAGATCCATCCATCTGAGAGGCCAAACAAGTGAGTTAAGGATATTATAGAAATCACTACTTCTGCATCTTTGAGTTATTAATAGTGGCAGTATATTTGATTTTATTGAGAATTTTCTTTACCTATTTTATGTTAACATTTTGGTAGAAAGAGGCACTTGTGTGGATTTACATATGACATTTCTGGTTTTCTGATCATGATAGCTCTCAATCCATGGATCAGAGGATAAGTATAGTAAATTTTCCAAATGCTGAACAAGTCTTCTCCAGCCATGCACTCTGCTTTTGGAGAAAAATTATGGGGTGAGTTTTTAGAATTATTTAGCTTACTATGAGGAAAACTTAGTTCCAAAATGGCAGTTTTTACCCGATGCATATAACCTGTTAGTCTGACCAGTGAATTCAGGGTCATTTGTGGTAGAATTACATAATTCTCTTTCTGGTGTAGTTGGAACCGCATTCATTCAAATGCAGTGTACAATGGCAATGGCACAGAAATAAGATTTGGATAAAGGATTATGATTCCAGTTGATGTGGAGTCAAATAAGACCTCATTTTCTTAAACTCAGACTTTTTGTCTTTCTGTCTGTTTAGATCATACAAATCTTTCTTTTTCTTTCTTTTCTTTTCTTTTCTTTCTTTTTTTTTTTTTTT